AGAGGCTCACCCATACACTCAGAGGCTCACCCATACACTCAGAGACTTACCCATACACTGAGAGGCTCACCCATACACTCAGACTCACCCATACACTCAGAGGCTCACCCATACACTCAGAGGCTCACCCATACACTCAGAGACTCACCCATACACTGAGAGGCTCACCCATACACTCAGAGACTCACCCATACACTCAGAGGCTCACCCATACACTCAGAGGCTCACCCATACACTCAGAGACTCACCCATACACTCAGAGACTCACCCGTACACACAGTGTGCTGCAGTCAGGATCCAGATGGACGTGATGATGGAACCTCCACACAGATGTTCGTTGTTTAGGTGGAGACTGACCTGCCAAGGGAACTGACCCGTTTTGGAGATGTTCCCTCCAACAATCCTGGTGGTGTATAGAGGCCTCGATCCACACTCTGAGGACACACGTGTTTAGAAACCTCACTCTGCATTCTCTTATTGTTGCTCGCTGCTGTAGGTGAGGGCAGAGTGGTAAGGGGTGAGTCACAATTTTCATCATCTTAACAAGCGTACAAACCGCATGCTGGGGGGGGGGGCGATCGGGGGGCCAGGACTAGTGTACACTTTTCAAACTGAACAAAAGTGTTTAAAGTTTTTTGAATACACCTTTTATAACCGGCATGTTGGAGTTCTTCTGGAAGGCAACTCTCGCCTCACCACCTGATGTACGGTGAGGCTCCTCCCTGAGCGAGCAGCGGCTCAGCGGAGCCCCTCCATCTCAAAGTGCTCAGAGCAGACAACGTTAGTGTGTTCGGGACGCCGTCATCATCATACAGACCCGTGTCTGACTTGTGCATGTGACCAAACTTCTGGTTCTCGAGAAAGGGTGCGCGCAGCCTGTTCGAGTGTCTCCGTGAGACTCGTGTTTCTGCTGCTTTAGTTTTTACTTTACCTTAACATTAACACTAAAAGACGAATAGTTGTATTCACACTTCAGGAAGTGACTGCTGGTGGAATCGAACCCCCAACTCTCCCATTGGAGGGCGACTGCTCTAACCACTTAGCGGCAGCAGCCTTGTGTAAACTGTTAAAGTAAACCTTGTTTGGCTGATTGTTTCCTAAACCACTGCACAGATTTTGATGAAAGTCCCAGGAAGTAAATTGATGTTGTACATCCACAAATTCTGAAGTCAAGTCAAGATGGCCACCTCCTCTAATCTATTCAGGCCCACGTTTT